ATGCCCAGCTGATGCAAAGAATATAATTTATATCTACACAGAAGAAAGCCCTGTCTAGACTCTGCCCCGGTACGAGTTGTGTCGAGCTATTCATTAGTCTGTTTGAAAAATATGAAATTGATAAAATGGGTTATTAATCCGTACAACTGCAGCAGCAGAGGACTATTATTCTGCTGCGTGATACTGCAGAAGAACTGATGACGGCACGGTTTGATCTTCGGCTGACCATTTAGCAGAAAGGTGCGTTTAATTCCCGCCCACATGTAGAAATTGAATATTCAAGCTGTTTATTCATTTTTCCACCCATGAACGAAAAGGGTAAATTTAAGCTGAATTCTCGTTTTTCGTTTTTTGGAAAAAAACGAAAAAGGAGCCGTTTTCTCATTTTTCTACTTTCAATATTAAATCAAAAAACGAATGATCGAATGATACACGGATTTATTAGCCCTGTAGTCTTCAGATATTTCATCAAGAATGCCAGTAACTTCCCCAAGGATCACCTTCTAATAGGCTTTAACTGTAATATTTAGACGAACTTCCTTTAATTCAGCTAAGGTGCTTCTTCCTTTGGGTCCGCTTGTCACATATTCTTCCATAACTTTAATATGCTCTCAGTCAAGAGACACCCAAATCCTTACTTCTTCTGCTGAAAATGCACTGTTACTTTTCTGAGATGTTGAATCATAATGCTGCTTTCCGGCTGTTTTTCACGCTGCACTTGCACATGTGCCGAATGTGAATGTTCGCTTCTTTATTAGTGTTTTTTTCTCTTTCGCAATGATAGGTCAAATCCCTGTGCTTAAACTTGGGTAGTTTTAAAACTTACCAGTGGTATTTGTTGTCACCCCAGGAAAAAAGGTGTTGTCTGTGTTAAGATAATAAGTAATCAAACATAAAACTTTTATGTGATTCTTACTGCTTAATGACATCTGACACTAAATTAAATTCTCACACAATTCAAGAAATTCTTTCCTACAAGGACAAATATGACAAAACAACTGTGCCAAGTTCTTTATTTACAGTACAAATGCTTATTTACAAGAAATATTGGGATAGAACAACCCTCTGAAGTGACAAGAGAAACACAACACGTGGACTGGGATTGAGAATGGCTGCTGTAGACTCTATGCAGTACACAGATAAATGGTACATATACATGATAAATGGTAGTTAGATGGTACATATATACACGTATTACAAAGGTTTCACATATTGTATAGCAGGGGTTTCTAAGCCTATTGAGAGCTACTGTCCTGCAGACTTCGGCTCCAATGCTCCAACACAGTGGTTCCCAACCCTGATCCTGGAGGCACCCCAACACTGCACATTTGGCATGCCTCCTTTCTTTCACACACCAGTTTCAGGTCTTGGAGTCTCTACTAATGAGCTGATGACCTGAATCAGGTGTGTTTGATTAAGGAGACATGCAAAACATGCAGTGTTGGGGTGCCTCCAGGACCAGGGTTGGGAACCACTGCTCCAACACAGCTGTCTGTAATTATCAAGCAATCCTGAACACCTCAGCTGCTTCAGGTGTGTTTGACTGGGGCTAACATAGATATACATTTGACCAGAATGTGATTAAGATTTGATTTTGAGAATCTTCTGAAAGATCTTTTTTATTATATTTGGATGAGTACAGGTCCGTTCTTCCTCCTGTCTGGCCTCTCTGAGCTTGGTTTCATAATAACGCTTGTACTCTGTCATTTTACACTTGTTTAGTTGTTCCAGCTCTTTGATCTTCTCTTCTTTCTCTTGCTCGGACGCTGTCAGTGTCTCTATTCTCTCCTGCAGTTTCTTCATCTCTTCAGCAAATCTGGCCTCCAGTTCTCGCTGTATGTCTTGTAATTTCTTCTCATACAGCTTCTTCAGTTCCTCCGGTCTAGTTTTCAGCATGAGCTCCACGTCCTGGTAAGAGTCGCTGGTGTAATGTTCACCTCCATTAGCAGCGACTACGGCATCTACTTTCTGCAGGAACTCCACAACCTGATTACGATCCTCCATGTCTTTATTGTTGAACACATGATGTCTTCCCCCACAGCGACTCAAGATTTCCTGCAGAGCCTCGTTGGCTTCCATGAATTCTTCAATAGAGCTGGTCAGTTCATCCCCGTGAGTGAAGAGGATGATTGTGTGTTTATCTGCTTCTTCTCCAAATATGGCTCTGATCTTCTCCACCGAGAGTCTCTCTTCCTCAGTGAACGCATCCAGTTTAATGACCAGGACGATGGCGTGAGGTCCAGGTGCTGTCATGTTTATACACTTACTGATCTTCTGTGTCAGAAGCTCCTCCTCTGAAATGTCTGTGTCAAACATGCCCGGTGTATCTACTACTGTGATGTCTCTTCCAGCCACACTCTCTGTCTCTTTCGAGCACTCTTTAGTCACAGATGAAGGGCTTTTGATGACTCTGAAGGCTTTTCTGCCCAGGATGGTGTTTCCGGAGGAGCTTTTACCTGCTCCAGTCATTCCCACCAGCACCAGTCTCATAGACACTGAAGAACAGTGAGAGAAAGACGACGAGCTCATCAATGAGCCAAAACAGACTGATTGAGAATCAAGTGATTTGTCAATGTTTATACTCACTGTTCGGTTGATCAATAACAAAGCTGCCCCTTCTTCCTACAAAGAGAAGAAAATAATTTAATTCATTTTTTCTTTATCTTGCTAATTAAAATAATCAAAAGTGTCCGTGAGGCAGCTTTTTGATTAAATGCAAAGTCTAGTTTAATGCCTGATGTGATGAACACTCTAAAGATATGGTTCTTTACACGTAGTGACCGTTCTATTTAGAAGCGTATCATTCTGAATAACCTTTCATATGCTGAGATGGTTCTTTGCATTAGACTTTATGGTTCTTTTTTCAAGTCTGTAACTGTCAAAGCCACATCATTACTGGTTTTCTGGAGCTCGAGACAGTCAACAGGGTACTCATCTTCTCAACGGAAATATTGAACTTATGATCCATATTGTGAGATTTATTTATTTTTTAAAATATTACTTTATGCATAAGGATACCCAGTCACAAATAACATTAAAGTTATCCCATGACCTTATACTTTTTCCTCTTAACTCTTGCAAAGGACTCACATACTGTCTAGTTTAGCTAATTTTGGCCTACATAAAGAATTGTTTGTACATAAACAACTGGACACACTATAACTAAACTCAGCTGTGTATTTCAGATGATGCCGCATCCTACAACCTCATCATCTGGAGAGAGAAACACAATGATGGACATGAAGACATCATGGATTGAATAATATCCACATTTAAAAGTTTATGAAGCAAAACCTCCAGCTTTCGTTGGACCGTGACTGAGGAAGACTGTGTAACACCTCTCCTCTGACAGCGGCCGCATTCACAAAACATCTTCAGGCTAAAAGTAGCTCATAACTCACCGATTTAGGAGAAAATATTACAAATAATGGTCAGTCCTAAATTTAGGACTCCTACATGTTTGCTCTAAGAGTCTTTCACAAAGTGTTTTAGCTCTAAAACTAGCTCCTAAATCTGTGAAAGGTTAGGAGCAGTGAAGAGGAGTCCTAAGTCACTATAAGACCAAACCACAAACCATCCTAAAATAGCTGTTGCTGGCAATCAGCCTCTGAACCTAACATTTTAGAAACATTTGATGATAATGAGCTTTTAAAAAGGTATCACCTTTGGTTTTGGTGGTTATCCGAACTCCAGATTTTCCTTTGATTATATCCTTGTTCTCATTAACCAGTTGGGCAAGAAGCTGTTCTTGAGTCCAGTTTGGTTTTCTTTTACGTTTGCATGTATTATCAGCCATGATTATTCTACTCTGTTAATTAAAAGGCTGTTTAAATGCATATTCACTAATTGTTTTTGAGAAGCACATATGCAAGAGGCTGACAATTAGCTGGACATATACTTGTTTAATTAGTGACACTTAGCCTGCATTTTAAAATCTTTATTTGAATGAGACAATTAACATTTTTATTTTTAAACCTTTATTTAAATATAACAACATAAAATCGTGCTCTACGATATTTCTATGAATAAATCTCTGACAGAGACTATCAGCCAATCACTGTGTGCATAGTTAATGAGCATGCTGACATCATCCATAGCAACGAGCTCAGCCCCGCCCCCTTACTCTGAGCTTAAGACTTCTCTCTGTTCCTTAGTAAAAGTTTGTCTCAGCAGCTTTGTGAATAGGTTTCAAGAGAAAACTCTTAGCTACAAACTTTACTGCTATTTAGGACAACTCTTAGTGGTAAGATCAAATGTTTTGTGAATACGGGCCCTGATTTTCTCTTGCATTTAAGTAAGTGGTCACTATTCTGCACGCGAGTCAGAGAATCACCTTCTGCTTCACGGATTAACATTTACAATCATTTTACATTCATATTCAAATAAATTATATTAGAATTCAAAGGAATCACTTTGGTAATCTACAATACTTTTCGGATGTAACTGTAATTTGATTACCGCCCATTTAAAATGTAACTGTAATGAAATACAGTTACTCATATGTTGTATATTAAATATGTAACGACACGAGCTCAGCCCCGCCCCCTTACTCTGAGCTTAAGACTTCTCTCTGTTCCTTAGTAAAAGTTTGTCTCAGCAGCTTTGTGAATAGGTTTCAAGAGAAAACTCTTAGCTACAAACTTTACTGCTATTTAGGACAACTCTTAGTGGTAAGATCAAATGTTTTGTGAATACGGGCCCTGATTTTCTCTTGCATTTAAGTAAGTGGTCACTATTCTGCACGCGAGTCAGAGAATCACCTTCTGCTTCACGGATTAACATTTACAATCATTTTACATTCATATTCAAATAAATTATATTAGAATTCAAAGGAATCACTTTGGTAATCTACAATACTTTTCAGATGTAACTGTAATTTGATTACCGCCCATTTAAAATGTAACTGTAATGAAATACAGTTACTCATATGTTGTATTTTAAATATGTAACGACGTTACATGTATTTGGTTACTCCCCAACCCTGCGAGTAAGACATCCTTGCCATACCTGTCAACATTTGATTACCATCATCTGGGAGTAGGTTTCAGGGTACGTGCGGCTCCCCCAGCAAAATGTAATATTGTGAAATAGTATTACAATGTAAAACAACGATTTTCTACTTTAATACATTAAACTGTAATGTATTTCTGTGATGCGCAGCTGTATTTTCAGCATCATTCCTCTTCAGTGTCACATGATCTTCAGAAATCAGTCTAATATTCTGCTTAAAACTGTTCAACTCAGCGATTTGTTTTCAGAAATTCACAGCACATTTTGTTTCCATTTCAACAATACTTCATTTCAAATCTCTGCGATTGCTTTGCAGGGGTCCTCTAACATGCTTTTAAATGAAATAACTGACAACAACACGCTGTTGGAGTAACGATGAAGGAAGGAAAGCTGAATAAAAACAGGCCCTTTTTCAGATTCGGAGGTAAACAGCACGCGATGAAATCTGAAGTAAAACAGAACGAAGCCTCTGGAGAAAACGCACACTTATCTGTGATTAGTTCAGATACTTGTTTCGATCAAAGTTCGTCTGAAATGCTTCTTGAAGGCAGAAAGTTACCTGCTGTCTGTGTTGTGTCGCTTGATGAAGCCATGGCTCAGATTTCTCCGCGATGATCACCGGAAGCTGAACACAAGCGAACATACAGTCATACGAACCATTTCTCTAGAGTCTGGATGCACGACAACAACAAGCTGTACCAACTTACATGGTGTTATGTCCTTAGCTAATAAAACCTCTCTTTTTTGTTGCGTTTTTGGAGCTAACGTTTGGGGCGTCGTCTTCTTCTTCTTCTTCTTCTTCTTCTTCTTCTTCTTCGAGGTTTAACGGCGGATGCATCCACGAGCGTCGCATTACCGCCATCTTCTGGATTATTCTCCTGCGATGTTACTCCAGCTTAACTCCTCCCTCCAGCTTGTTTTCCGCGATCACATTCTCCTCATCAAACCCGCTCTAATTAAGAAATTACTAATTCTTGTTTCTAATCAGATCACTTTGCAGTATATATCTTTTATGCCTGCCCCTGCCAACCCATCTCGTCTCAATTCTTCATCATGTTTCTCCTCTGTTCTTCATATCTTCTGCAGCTTAAAAGTACATGTCCTATGGTTTCTAATGTCTGACAACACTCACACAAACCAGTGGGATGCTTCCCTATAATGTGTAGTGTACTATTTAAATGACTGTGTCCTGCTCTTGATCTTGTCATCACTATTTCTCCTAGTCCTCTCTGTATCAGCTTTGTTTTGAACGGCACACAGATGTGCTCCTTTAGCTTCCCTGTCCCACTGATGTTGCCATTCTCTAATTACACAAGCTCTATGAATAATATTTGAAGATGTTGTGGCTCAGATAAGGTCCGGTGTGGTTTATTTCTTTGCTCTTGGCACACTCTCATGTTGTTCTCGCACGTCAAACACGCTTTTAAACGTCTGTGCGCTGTAAGGTTTTACGTTTTGTTTTATTTTATTTTTTATTAAGGTTTTATTTTATTTAAGGCATTATTATTATTTCCCATTTCATATTTTATAGTTATTTCCCATTTCATATGTTATAGTTATTTCCCATTTCATTTCCCGCGTCTTGTTCTTTAAATGCAAAAACGCATTCTCTGTGAATAGGACTGCATGAAAAGTGCATGAAGCGCCTTCTAAAGGTATTTCCCTGAACAACCACAGGTCAGATTTCCTCGCACAGAATGAGAGCTTATTAAATCACCAACACGATTGTTTATTTTTGCTAATTATTATTTTATTTTAGTTAGTTTTTCAGTAACTGTTGTTTCATTTAGTTTTAGTTTTTCATTTATTTTGACATTTAAATTTTCAGTTTATGAAAATGTTTTTTGACCAATAGTTTTAGTCTTAGTTTCAGTTTTCATTTACGATTATTACTTTTAGGGTCATTTAGTTGTTTTCAATGTCATAATCCGGCTCAAAGATCATGGCAAAAAAGAGGGAAGCAGGGATTTAATAATCAAAATAACACATTTATTTTACAAACAAAATAATAATTGAACACAAATGCCGGCAAAAAGCAACATAAAAGGGTGATGTGCGGGAGAGACAAACTCCCCACACACACCACAACAGGGGAAACGTAGGAAGCTTTTATGAGGAAAGACTCCGAGCCCAGGTGTCCTCCAATCAGCATTCAGACTGCAGCCCCGCCCCACTGAAACACAAAAATAAACAAAACCACACAGCAGGCAGGTGTGCAGGCCATCACACTCCCCACCCTCCCATGAGAACGGGGTCCCAAAGGGAAACCCAGCAACAACAAACAACTCACAAAACACACTCAAACTAAACTCAAAACAATTACAACCATTACAAACATGCAAACACCCCACTTCCCTTATTTAAAGGAAGAAACTACTTAACCTTTACCCTCACTATTCCAGTCCTCCGCATATTCCAGTCCTACTTCTGGTTCAGCAACCGGTGCATCTAGGAATGTGAATGGTCTCATTGAATATTCATGAAATTGAATATTTTTGAAATGACTGCACTGTGAACTGTACTAGAGACCTGCACTACCGCGGAAGTGAAAAGAAACTGAAGTGAAAGAAAGAAAGAAAGTGTGATGAGACTAGATGGCTTGTAGAGGAGCAGCAGACATGACAAAGGTGTGCTTGTACAGAAAAGAAACAACGAACACAGAATTGATCATGTCGTGGGTTTTTAAACTCGGCTGTTCTTATGGTGTCTTGACCAATTGTCTCTGCT